ATGCATGCAAGAATGCCCAGTAAATGAATTCCAATGAATATTCCCTACTTAAATGACATTTGAATGTTCAGATCTGCCGCAAGCTTCTATCGATATCTCCTCCACTACTAAAGTCTTGTGATAGGCTTCTACCAAGCCCATCTGTGCCAAATCTAGAAGAAACCGTAGATAAATACCTTAAATCTCTTAAAAATATCCTAAGAAGGGATGAGTACGAATTGCTTGAAGAGCAAGCTCGTTCATTCTTGCGAAATGAAGGAAAGCGCTTGCAAAAGTACGCCTGGATTATGTCTATGATGTCAGACAACTACATTACCCCTTTCTGGGAGAAATATGCTTACCATTACAGTAGGTAAGGGCTTTTCCTGGAGCTTTAGTTCATTTTTGTGCATGAACTCAATTTTTAAAGGGAACCACTCCTAATCAATAGTAGTGTAGCCCACACTGATCTAATGGAAGTACCTGAGAATCGAAGAGCTACCAGAGCGTATATGGCAGCTAGAGTGACATATTTTGAATCAATGTCACAACTTGCTATTGACAGACAGGACATCAGCCCGGTAAGCATGAAAATCCTTTAAAATTCTTTTAGACGGTAAAATACAAACTACTTAGCTTGGCTCGGGCCTTCTATGTGCTCGCCACTATGATAGGCTCTACAGTATATGTCGAGTTCCCGGAGAAGAAGTTGATCATTTTGAATACTACGGTAGTTTTCCCATTTGATATTACGTATTTCTAAAATAAAACCTTTTTTCAAGGTCTCTCTAAACATGTGGTAGCTATACTCAATGGTTGCTTCTACAAGGTGATGCTTTGTGATGAGAAGAATCGCATCTATAGCATCGATCAACTAGCTAAGTAGGCACACTGGGCACTTCTCTTTTCTGTCAAAATGTGCAAATTTTAGGATTTATGCAGAATTATTATCACGAAATGATAATGTTCAAGGACCTTCTAGCATGGTCGCTGCGCTGACAACTGATAGACGGTAGGATTTTACTCGAATTGTTCAGCAGTCAATGTTTTGCCAACTACGTAAAAAAATTCTGTAAGGTGATTTTATGTAGTGATAACTACCCGGAGAATCCGTAGATGATATTCTCTAATCTTTTACGGGTATCACTCGTTAAGTTGATCACGAAATTTGTATTGTTCTAGCAACCATATCTCCTGCATTTTGTAAAATTACTATAGATGGCAAATTTTCCGATCAGTCTAAAACTTTGCACGGCAGAAATTATTGCTTTTGATATTAACGTTAGTAAATGGTGTTCTGGTGTAAAGACGTGATAGCCTTGAGTAGGAAGTGTAAGCTTTTTTAACTATACACTTCAATTTGTCATGTGAATTTGCCAGTCATAGATTAGCGACGAATTTTCCTTTGTATAATCAATGTCGCTTCCATTACCCAATGGAAGAACACTACAAATGATCCAG